CCGGAAAATTTCATCAGTGACATATCACAATTTATTGCGTATTATATACTGCAAATACGTAATGTACTTTTAATCTACTCTAATCTACTCAAATATACTCTAATCATAGGATGATAAATCAGTTCCTATTTATTCTTCCTTTTCTTCCTACCTTCTTCCTTGTAGTAAAAGGAATCTGGAATCCACTCAGCAACATTCTTCCTTCATAATCTGTGTACGCGGTAGTATTAAAGATAACATCAAACCCAGTCATCAAAGGAAACATATCATAATTTCCTTCAATATCAGGAAACAACGATAAAGCACTTGCAGGAAATCCCATTGCTATATTTCCATTTTGATCCCCTGATGTAATTGGTATTCCATGCCATTCTTTCATTCGGGGTAATACTATTTCTACTAATTTGTCCAAGAACGTGTACATTGGCGGTCCGGATATTGATACTTTGCATCCAATTGGCATGCCTAAAGAAAATATAAAGAAAAGAGAAAATATAAAGAAAAGAAATATAAAGATGATCGGAATATACAATAATCAAAAATCTCAATTTACCTTTTCTCAATTTCCATTGTGCAACTCCAGTCTTTGAGTAAACCACTGTTGGTCGTTCCGATGTTATACATTGTAAGGCCATAATACCGCTCAATAAATGTTGTTTATTATGTATAGCCTCTTTAATCATACAATGCACGTCAATTCTTAATAATTTTGGTATTGTTTTATGACTATGTTTTGGTGGCACTGGTAAACGTTTTTTATTTCCTCTTGGCTTTGGTGGTGGTCTATTTATCGCAAATGGATTTGTATCTCTTGTTAAAACTGATTTTTTGATTGGTAAGTGCTCCTTTCGACGTTTTTCAAGGAATTTCTGTTCGGACTCTGAATCTTTATAGCTTAGGATCATTAAGTCGGTTGCAATTGTTGAATGGTAGAATTCTTCCATTCGGAGCATTGAAGTACGACCTGGATAAAACAATGGGGAATCGGGAAGATTGGCTGGTGGTGGTGATTTTTGATAAGTGTGAATGGATGTTATGTTAAAAATTCGAGGAACAATAGTTGATGGGAGTTGATATCTATAGTAATGGAGAAAATTTGATCTTGGCAGCATAATTGTTGTAAAAGATGGATTAATCATTAAAAAAAAAAAATTTAAATTGGCGATCAGATACGTACCGGTACGTACAATAATGCTACCCCCCGAAATATTTAATGTGATTTGTTAGAGTAATAAGGATTGAAACCGTCTAAGATTTTTCTGATCACATAACCATTTAACCGTGTTAACCGTTTATTTCAGCTAGCGTTAGAATAATTATACCCATGGCAAACATAATTCGGCCTGGGTTATGGAACAATTTTTAAGAGAATTATTGTAGGGTAACTACTGTATGAAATTGAATACTACAAAAAAACTTACAGTATTATAAAATATCAGGTATATTTGGGTTTATAGAATGACTTTATATGAGATCGTGCACAACTACGAAGATTCATAGTCCGAAATGCGGATATTAAATTTTAGCCAATAAGTACAACTCTGATAAAAAAAGATTTCTTTTCCTTGCGATGATGAGCTCACTTGACCTGCCAAAATAGTTTTTTTACTAGATAATTAAAAATTTAAATAGTTACTTTATATATAGAATCTCATTCTGCGTAGAAAGATTTTTCCGGTTAGCAGGTTTGTTTATCGATGATATGTTCTCTTAGCGTTAGATTTATAGTTTAGTATAGTTTTTTTTTTTTTTTTTTTAACACTTTTTTTTAGTTTAGTGCTTTTTTTTTTATTTGTGCTTGTTTTATTTTATCTAATTTTAGTTTTTTATTTATCTATTTTTTTATAACGATGTGTTATCAAATTGGTAAAAGCAGTAATTCTAACGAGATTACTAAATATTATTTAATGAGTTTAAAATATCTTAGATCATACAAAGTTAATTTTTTGGTTCTCATAACATAAAATTTGAAAAATAACCCGGCAACCCGGCTTTTCATTTTATTTTCAAAAAATTTATATATAAAAAAGCATATAAAAATTTTTATAAAAAAAAAACTTCGCCCGGATGGTAAATATAGTCAAAAAATTTTTTACAGCTATTATCATTATTTCTGGGACACCTTAAGAATTTTCAGATGACCGAAATATCCTCTGTTTCATTCGGTA